TGTACCTTTCCTGCAGTGATTTCTCCTGCGGAAATCACCGTGGATCAAAAGATCATGCAGGGTTTTCAACTGTCTCCTTCTCCTGACTTGTAACCAGGTTGCACAGACAAGATACTGCCGTGTGGAATAGATAGATGAGGATTTCAGACTGTATTAGCCAACATGGCTCAATTGAAGCCATTTTGCTAAAGATCTCATAAAACTTGACATGATTTTCTTCATTACCTAGTTATCTTTCTGGCCTGAGGTGACTCAAAAATACCCAGAGAATACTATGGGTATTTTATGGATGATGTACAAAGAACGATTTTTTCCATGTGATAGATAAACCTTCAGAGCCCTTTAGCTGTACCTTGCCATTAACTGAATTTTCAAGTTCGTTTGCTTAGAAGTAGTACAGTACAGTAAAACTTGGATGACATTGTCTCATCTAGAAGTAGGGATTTGATTTGGGAGGATGGAAATATATTTGTTAAAAACGAAATGCTTCTGGCTTTAGTAAAGGTTTGATCTGAATAGATCCAAATCAAGCAAGAAGTCATATGGATTTATGTAACAAAACTAGCTATGAGAAACTGGGGAAGAAGAAAGTCCTGTTTCATCAAATTACATGTTTCTGTGCTATAGATAATGTTGGCATTGATTGTTACATACCATGCAATGGATGTCATGCTAAGAAAGTAGTGGAAAATATACTAGTGTATACAATTAAAAAAGAAAGGCAAAGGAGAGGAGTGCCCATGTACATGTATGTGAGTACACTTGGTGGGGGGGCAGGCAGTTCCCAGTCTGCCTCCTGAGGGATCTTTGCATGACACGGATGCTGGCTTTCAAATCATTACACTCTCCACAGAGCCACCAAGTTTCCTGTGCTTGAAAGGACTGGAAGTGCAAGGAAGTGCTCCTGGTGAAGACAAAGATCTAATGGTTTTTCCCACTGTTTCATGCTTGCAGAGATACTGTTTCCCTTTGCTACCTCCTGCACTGGGGATAGAGTCAGGAAGGAAACAGCATCTTTAGACTTCTAAGATCACATCCAACCTTTAACCCAGGACTGCCAAGTCCACCCCAAAACCATGTCCCTAAGCACCATATCTACACATCTTATAGATGTGTACGTCTAAAAGACCTACAGTATTCCAATACTGAAATCTTTTTAGTTCAAGGCAATTTGAGCATCTCCTAAGGTTTAAGAACTGGAAGCACTTTTAAAGTGCCCACACTCACACAAATGGAGAGCTGGGAGGTTTCCTCCCACCCCCAAATGCTCATAGGAGATCCTGCCAGGTTGGCCAGTTAAGCTATTTCCCCGTTCTTGTGGATGGGAAAGCTCTGTGTAACAGAGGTGACATGGTGACCTTTGCAGTGAGGTGAAGACAGGCATAGAACAGAGACAGGAAGATTGCCCATGGTGTAGGCAGTCACTGGTGTCACTTGCCTTTGGGCTAGTGTCCTGTCTCAGTTGTTGGAAAAACAATTCCCATGGAATAAGAAAGGTGAAATCCTCCTTTTTTTTAATTTCTAGCCATGGGAGTTTGTTTCACAGTCTGCATCCCATGCAAGCAGTGACTATCAATGCATATTTAGTATATATATTCAATACATGAATTTACCCCTTCAGCTGTGTGCATGCATCATCGAAGAGCAGGACACCTTCCTATGTTCCCTTTTGCTTTCTTCTGATGCCCTGCACACAGCAGTTTTGAGGGAGTGTGGCTGCAGGATCAGCCAAGACTCTGCCATCCTCTCCATGATGAACCTGGAGGGCAGAGCAGCGTGGTGTGATGCAGAGAGGCCATGGGAGATCCTGGGTCTGCATTTCCCCAGTGCTGAACCTTCCTGCACTGGCCCTGTGTTGGGTAGAGCAAGCTCAAACTCACACAAGGGACTTGGCAAGAACGGCTCTTCTGCTTGGGGGTGGTTTCTTCAAATTCACAAGTCGAATCCCAGAAACAAACAAACAAAACTAAACAAAAAATGCTTCAGAAAAAAACCCAGTCCCACTTTTTTCCTCATAGTATGCTTAAATAGATTAGTGGCTTGAATATATTGGGCTTTTTCCATCCCAAATTAAGATCTCAGGGAATTTGTTTGTTCCTTTCTCTACAGCAAAGTAAAAAGGTATAGGAGGAATCATATTTTGGCAGTTGAGATAACTTACAGTAAAACTTAAGATTTTGTTTGTTTTCTTCCAAAGTGGAGGAGAATTGTTTTTACCTTCTAGGTAACTTGTCAGCTGAAGTTTTTGACTTAATAGTTAAATCATCTTTATTTCAATGCTGTTCACTCTTTGACTGAATCCAGTGAAATAATGCATTTAATGTGATGCATTGAAAATATTTATAAATTTTTGTTACTTGGGGGAGGAAGGTGGGAGTTGCCCCTTTGGTGCTTTTCTGAATGTACAGCAATCTACACTGATTAAGCATGGATGATTTCATTTCAGTCAACAGCACAAGGTAACGTCCAGTCCATCCTGACTATAACAATGTAAATGTCCTTTGCTTTCCTTAGATCTGTCTGAGAGTATGTCATCTATCAGAGTAGCATCTCAGATGGTGAAGAAATTCTATACAGGGTGTGTGAAGTGGGAGCAAGTGAAGAGTCTGTATGAAATTTCATCCCTCCTTAATGTTTTGCGGGAGCTCTTTTTGGTTGAAGTAACATGCTGTGAATTTTGTAGAGAAACTGGGTGGGTCATTCTTGCACTGATGCAGGCATAGGGCAGGTTCTACAAAGGTAAAATGTTGCCTCTCCTCAGGACTTTGGAACCTCAAAGCATCTCTACTTTGTGCAAGTGTTAAGGGGGGGGGGAAGAAAATTAATTCCTTGTATTGCCAAGCTAATTTCATGAATGAATTTACTCTGCATTCCTGTGTGGTCTGTGCTCTGAGGTTTGGTGATCTTAGGGAGAGCTACTGAAGCACTGGATGTCCAGGTCACTGGTGCACAATGTGAAGCAGTGGCTTTTAAGGGCTCCTCATGAAGCCTACTTGGCAGGTGCTGTGAGTGCTCATTTTGCTTGGCTTTGTTTCTTTCCCTGGATTTAGGCTAGTTTGGGGTTAATTTTTCAAGTTTGGATCACCACTGAAACCCTGCTCACCTCAGCTGGCAACAACTTTGTGTCCATTACTGATTCCAGAGGGTAAACTAGATAGATTATTTGTCCTGCCCTGAGGAAGAAGAAAGGAGTTAAATTTAAGAGCTGCCACTGGTGGGCATAGGCTAACACCTTGAGTACATAGAAATCAATTTGGACCTTGTCTGATGAATGCCACTGCTGGAGTTCTTTCTTTTCCATATAGAGCTACGTATGAAAACTAAATGCGTTCACTTAAGATAACATCGTGTGACAGCTGAGAACAATTAAAACTCTTTACTTATAGCTATATTTTTTCCCTTCCTTTCTACAGCAGGAGGGTGGTGTCTGCAGCTCTAAGGAGTTGATACAGGCTATTTGGCACTGCTTTGATCTTATCTAGAACAAGTATCCTGCAAGGTTATTTATTTTACAGCCTTTTCTTCTAGTTTTGCACAACACACAGATCTTGGGAGCTGGGAAAGGATTTTTTTTTACTAGAGTCTTTTTGGCAATAAACACATGCCTAACTGTAAGAGAAAAACTTTCACAACCAAGCTTGTTTTGCGAAGCCCAAACATTTGTGAAGCTTACAAACCCTCAAACTTTGCATAATGTGCCCATCCCTGGTCTCAAACATGAAGTGGCAGAAGAGGGAAGTGTTACTTTTTTTAACCAACAACTTATGACTGTGTCAACACATGACAATTTGTCAAAGCTTGCTGTAGCGGTACTGTAAATTAATTTTTAGCATCACTTGTGAGTGGTAAACACTTTGTGCAGTGTGAACAGCTCCTAGTACAGTGTGAGTTGTCAGCAGCTTGTGAGCTACCCTAAAAAAAAAAGGGCACAGAGGGAAGGATGCAAGCTCATTTACTAGTACAAAATGGATCTGAGTCTGCAAAAATTCAATGTGGTGGTATGTCAACTCAACCGTGAAAACTTGTTTTTTCCATTAATAATAATCACCTGCAAGGCTGGGAAATCACAACTTTCCATTCTGTGCCCCAAGCAGTGCCTGATGGCAAGCAGCTTTCTCAGGCTCATGACTTGGTGAAGTAGAGCCCCCTCTTTGCTCTTGGGTTTTGCCTTTGCTTGCTTGCTTTAAAAGCAGAACATCCTGCAAATACGAGTATGCTCTTTTGCTGAGAAGTCTCAAATCAACCACGTAAAATGCCTGGAAAAAAATTAATAAGACAACCCAAAGAGAAATGGTGGGTGCTGAGTGCTCTCTCCTCCTCACCTGTCCCCTTGCCGTTTCTCCTTGCCTATCCCAGCTGCTGTGGTGGAGCTGGGAGTGATGGTTCATACAATAGGAGTTGACATGATGGAAGAAAATTATTTGGTGCAAAAAGACAGGGAATATGTATTGTAGAAAACAACTTTTCAGATACAAACGTATTTTAGCCTGTCACTTTAGCAGAACAAGCAGTAATAACCTCCCAACCTAACAATGACTGTTAAGTTGAATGTTAATTCGCTCAGTCGTTGAATTGCTAACATGTCTACAATTTACAAGTGAACACCCACTCAAGAGAGAGAAAATAGAAGTTGGTGCCTGGAATTCCTGGCCTTACTGAAATCACCTACATTTTTTTGGCACTAATTCATCTTGCATTTCCTGCAAATGTTTTAAGTAGAACTAGATGAGAAAAACAGCTGGGCGCGTTTGTTTGCTGCTTTGATGCGCTCAGTGCGGGTTTTTTTCTCAGGCACAGCTTCTCCTGGCTTATACACCATAGGCTGGCTTTGGCTGCACCCTGGGGCTTGTTCCTGTGAGCAGGCAGCACATGTGAAGCTTGGCACGAGAACTACTGAGACCTGCTAAAGCTAGTTTTAACCTGGTCTTATTTTTAAAGAGAAAGATTACTTTATTTGTGTATTTGCTCATAAAGAATTTTGTTTATATTTCCTTTTCTAGATACAACTGTAAGTGCTGCCTGTATGAAAGAGCTGAGCCACACCATCCAGTAAACTGTCTAGAGCAGCAGTTGGCTTGCTTGGAAATCACTTCCAGGACTGCATTGTGAGTGTTTTTACAAAAGCATCATCAAATGGTTTCTTCAGTTTTGGGGTGGTTTTGAGATGTTTTGGTTGTTTCTTACGATTTCACAGTTTTATTCTAACACTAGCAATGCATGTAGGAGCTGGAGCACCCCCATATCTGCACAGCATAAAGCTAAAGCCCTTTCAAGGCTTTTTGCTATCTTGCTCTAGAACGCCCCAGCATAGTACCTAAACGCTTCTGAGAACAGGCAGCTACACAGAAGCCTAGAAAGAAATTTGACCAAGTACATGGTGATCTATTTTGTCATTAACTCTATCACATACAAGTGTTCATTCCAGCCTTTTAGCTACGCTGATGTAGCCTTGCTAGAGCAAATGCTTTGTGGAAGTTTTCATAAATTGTGATCTGCCTAACTCAGTTTGGAATGATCCATGAATAGTTGCCCTGTCTGAGCCAAAACACTGCTTTGTCCCTTTGGCCATGCACAGGGCATAGCTAGGCAACCTCAGTAGGCTGTGAATGGAGGGGAATTTGGTCAGCTGTATCTGTTTCTGTGATCATGGAATCAGAATATCCTGAGTTGAAAGGGACCCACAACGATTTTTGAGAGCATCCTAGTAATGAGTGAGTCTTAATGAAAAGGGCCGTATTTTAGGTTACAAGCCAATTGCATTGCATATAGTATTGAGAATGTGTTTGCATTTAGAATTAATAACATCATCCTAGAAAACTTTGAGATTTACACCAAAAAACCCTTATTATGCTATTCATACAGTTCATTCTGAAAGCATAATCCATTCAGAGATGTTTGTGACCTAAAATTTTGTACCTTTTATTTCTTTTTATATTGCCTTCATTTTCCTGTTGCTTCAGGTTATGAGAAGTACGGTATGAGAAATGTTTATGACATAAGTGTATTTCCCTTGAAATGGCCTCTGATAAAATGGTTGCTTGAGAGAATAGTGGTGGGAGAGTTGATGACTTAGAGTTCAAATCACTTAGTTACACATATTTATTATACAGACTGTTCACATTCCTCAGCACCTTGCAGAATATTCCCCACAGGTGACATTTGCTGTACGTATACTAGGTATAAAAAATATATGTATTTTAAATGTTAATCCTGTCACCTAGTCCTTCAAACACAGCAGTTGAGTTAGTTTTTTTGCTGTATGTTTCTTTTTTGTGAATCTTTGTACAGTCAATTGACACATCTGGATCACTCTCTATTAGGTGAGATTTTGTTGGACAGGAATCTTTGGCTTGGCTCTGCCTGCAGTTATCTGCCAGATACAGTAACTGCTGTTTTGTTCTTGTTCAGTGCCTGCTGGACCCATGAGGTGCTCAGCCCAGTTCTGCATGGTGAAGTTGAATGAGATGAAAAAAGGACTGTTTACTGTCAGTGATGGGACATCTCAGCTATGGCAAATGTTCAGAGAATCAGTGAGGGAATTGTTTGGGGGAAATTAGGACTTCAAAAATTCTGAAGTCAAATGGTTTTCCAATTAGAAATTTAAAACAAGGCCTAATGTTTGTTTTCAGCAGCCTGTAAATGATTCATCTGCATCTGGAACTTAAATCCTGACCTAAGCCACCATTGCTTTCATGGAATCATAAAATCATTAAGAATCATACAAGCAGAATTGTTTAGGTTGAAAAGTACCTTCAAGATCATCAAGTCCAACTGCTAACCCAGCCCTGGCAAGTCCACCACGAAACCATGTCCCTAAGTGCCACATCTACATGGCTTTTAAATACCTCCAGGAAGGGAGACCCAACCACTTCCCCTGGGCAGCCTGTTCAATGCCTGACAATCCTTTCTGTGAAGAAATTTTTCCTAATGTCCAGTGTAAATCTCTCCTGGAGCAACTTGAGGCTGCTTCCTCTGATCTTGTCACTTGGAAGAAGAGACCAACCCCCACTTGGCTACAGCCTCCTTTCAGGCAGTTGTAGAAAGCAGTAAAGTCCTCCCTGACCCTCCTTTTCTCCAGGCTAAACAACCCAGCTCCCTCAGCTGCTCCTCATGAATTTACCCCTTCAGCTGTGTGCATGCATCATCAAGGAGCAGGATACTTTTATATGTTCCCTTTTGCTTTTGAAATCTTGGTGATGGCTTGCTGGGATGAATGCCATCTTTATGGCTTTCTTCTGATGCCCTGCACACAGCAGTTTTGAGGGAGTGTGGCTGCAGGATCAGCCAAGACTCTGCCATCCTCTCCATGATGAACCTGGAGGGCAGAGCAGCGTGGTGTGATGCAGAGAGGCCATGGGAGATCCTGGGTCTGCATTTCCCCAGTGCTGAACCTTCCTGCACTGGCCCTGTGTTGGGTAGAGCAAGCTCAAACTCACACAAGGGACTTGGCAAGAACGGCTCTTCTGGTTTCTTCACACTCACAAGTCGAATCCAGAAACAAACAAACAAAACCAAACAAAAAATGCTTCAGAAAAAACCCACCTTTTCCCTCACAGTCTTCTTAAATAGATTAATGGCTCGAATATCTTGGGCTTTTTCCTGTGCTCCAGACTTCTCACCAGTTTCATTGCCCTTCTCTGGACACTCTCCAGCACCTCAATGTCCTTCTCCTAGTGAGGAGCCCAAACCCGAACTCAGGATTTGAGGTGTGGCCTCACCAGTGCAGAGTACAGATGGATGATTGCTGCCTTAGTCCTGTTGGCCACACTTAGAGCATGGGAAGGAGGAGCCTGGCTCCTCTGGGGGCGATGAGCCCTCCTGGTCCTTTCTCACAGGGCTCTGCTGCACCTGTTCATGGCAGACCCCGCTGTCACTTGTCCCCAGGCTGATGCCACCACAGAGTTGCCCATAAAGCCCTGAGGCTGTTTCAAGGGGAGCAGTTTCTCTTTCACTGTTGGGAATGGATTTTCTTCCAGTTTATGACATTTTTTTGCATTTCTCTGGCACCAGGAGCTGGAGCTGTGCATTCATTTAATTTACCCCAGGGTAGTTGCTACTGATTTGGTTCAAACCTGGTGTTGCAGCATGCATGCTACTGAGGCAATCTCAGTCACACCAATTCCTTGAAGGATTGACTATTCCAGTGTGGTTTTCTGCCTCATGTCCTTCCAGTTTAACTGTATTAGTCTGTTTAATGGTGCCAGAAGGCCACATATTTGCACTCTGTGAAGCTTCAAACAGTAGATGCATGCTTTTAAATGGTTAAATAAACGTTAATTATGATTCACAAATAGTTTTTCCCCAACTATTAAGTAATATCAAACACTGAATTTTTCAGGCAGTAATTGTTTTTCCAGCTGCTGAGTGGGACCAAGTATTCAATATTTTTACAGAGTTATTTTTGCAGCTGCTTGGCTGATTTAAGCATAAAAGTCCTATGTTATTTTGTAGGGCTTGACAGCCTTGGATGCACAGTGGGCACAAAAAGCCTGTGGTGGGAGTGGAATGATTACAGTCTTCTGATGCACCTTGGTTAGCTGTGGATAGTTTGGGCTGCATCCAGATAAGCTGAAAATAGCATATTGGGCACTTTTAAAAGTTTGTGGTTTTGCAAAATTTTCTCACAAAAATGTGAAGTCTTTTTCTTTCTCACTGTGTGAGTTATTACATATGTGGAAATTAGTTATTTTTTCCTTTTCAAGATCTTGAGACATTCTGTGAGGGATTCAGCCAGTGTGAATTATTTCATGAAATAGTGGTTTGACTTGTTGCACTTCCTTGCAAACAGTATAATACCAAAGAATTTTTCTCTTAGAAGTGCGTATTATGTGCTTTACACAGAAAGATCTTAAAAAAATTTTTAATACCAATTAAACCACAGGTCATGATGATAGTGAAAGAGACATTGTTTTCACTCACCGTGACGATTGCCCTGGCAGTGAGCACATGGCTCAAGTGATTCATTAGCCAAGCCAGTAAAACATCCTAGGCAGTCTGACACTGTGGCTTACTGGTAGCTGTTCTTCAGATGATTGCTCATGTCGACATGATGCATAGCAGTGTCAGAACATTCACTTTGTAACTTACCTTTTTTGTGCATCTCTTTTCTCTGGTTTTCCCACCAGATCTGCTCTGCTGCCTCACAGCACTGAAGTTGCTCTAACTCTCTGAAGCTATGAATAAGATATCTCCTCCTAAACTGGTGGGTTTTGATGAAGCCACGGTCATGCACACAGGATGCACAAAGGACACAAAACTGAGAGCTAGGGAGAGGATGCTAGCACTGAGCAGTAGGGAGAGAATGATGTTGGTAGGGGAGGAGACCAAACTGTGAAGGGTAAATTCTGTTTGATGTTCAGTTGTGTTGGTTTTTTAAGCCAAAACAGAAAAGAAGCAGGATCAAAAGCTTTAATAAAGCAGAAGTGTGAGTGTAATGAAACGTAGTGACTAGACAAATGAAAAAAAAAAAGTTCATTATTAAAGTCACCAAACTTAAAAATTTCAAAGCCCCAAAAGAAGAGGTGATTTGTCAGCCACTCATCTTGGACTGGGCACCCAACTGGAACTCACGGTCTGGGTTCAGTTCCCTGCCTCAGTCACAGGTTTCCTGTGTGTTCTCAGGCAACTTGCCTCCTTCATCTGCCCCATGACTGACTTCCCCATTTGTACAGTGGAGATCACCTTCCTCATATTCATTGTGAGGACAAAGCCTATTGATGTTGCTGAAAGACATGGATGTTGCAATGGGGAGAGCCACCCTAGAGACCAAAGAGTATCCTCACAGGGGATAGTCACCCTGCTGCTCACATTTCTGTGTTAAAGAGTAAAGGAAATTATTTCCAGATCTCAAGAGAGTTGATTTTTTTCTTTCCAAGTCTTTCAGGCCTATTTTTTTGTGGAGTTTGGCTACCCTGGTGCAGCAGCAGGCATTTGGAATATTCCCTGTCTCTCACCTTTCTTCTCTCAGTCTGTCTGCTTATAGCTTTGAATCACTCCTGTCGGCTCAATACGTGCACCCAGCACAACCCAATGGGATCAAAAAAATAGCTTCTGTCACCTCCCAACTTATGTGGAGATCTCCTAACATGTAAATAATGGTTGTTTGTAAGAAAGAAACCAAAGAGTGCTTGAGGCTGGTTGGAGAGGTATCAAAAGTGACACTAGCAGCTGAGGAAGGTGGTGAGAGGCAGTGGAATGTCACACTCCCAGACTCCTGCCAAGGTATGCTCTGGCACAGTGTGGCTGCTACGTGTGCCCACATAGCCCATCACCACCATTGCCCTTCAGCCCCTCTGCTTCTCCACTCAATCCCTGATAAGCAAAAATATTAATTTGAGCAGTTTTTATATACTCTCACTCAGTGCTGATGCTAATTCTGAGTAAGGAATGAGAAATGACAAGTCACACGCCTCTTGATGTGCCTTTTTATCTCCTTTGGGTTGGTAGTTAAACTTTTAAGTGTGAGGACTTCTCAGTACACGAAAAACAATGTCTCATTCCTTCCAAGGCTGGTCAGGTCAGAGTCCCTTGCCATGAGAAAATACAGATGGTTTAAGATGTAGTGCTGTCGACACTAGTTGTCCTCTCTCTGCCTGCAGTGCTTGTCCCTTTTCCCAACTGGTGAAACTGGAAATTCAGTCTGCTTGCAGCTCTAAAAGGCTAGTGCCTGAAAATACTGCAACTGCTTAGTTGTCTATTGCTGTTTCAACCCCTTGCCCAAGCTACAAATAATGAGTTATTGAGCTAATTTAGTTTTATACAGAAGTGATGTTCATCTTGCAAATCAGGAAGGCTGTTTAACGGAGTGTAATTGACTTCAGCTGTAAGATTCAATGCACTTATCTAGGATTACAGTTCAATAAAATCTAATTGTGCTGAGAGCAACAGGAATTATAGAAACACCTGGGGATTGTTTTGTGCCTTTCCCGTGAACAAGGTGAACTGAATATCTTCTGATCTTTATGGTTTGGGTTATACTGCTGCTTGACCTGCCCACTGGTGGGAGCAGCTTAAGGTGACACCATTTGGTGTGGGGAGGTGAAGCCACGCACGTGAAATGATGAGTGGCCTTCTTCAGTGAGCTCTGTGTGAGTGATGCTCTCATTTCTTTGTGCCCAGCCAGAGTGGGGCTAGGGGAATGGGAAGTAAACTATGTCTGGTTTCATTATGATGGTGATGGTAATAGGATCCATGAGGTGTGTGAGATTAAAAGCCCTATAACATTGCAGGCCAAGTCATTCACAGAGGACGAGGCCTGAAATCAGTTCAGTGCCTAAACATCCTTTTGTCTTGACTCACCCAGTGTAGAAATAAATAAGGGAAAACAAGTATTTATTCAGTATTTCCTCTCACTATTTACCAAGTAGGAAGCTGTGTAAAGCCAATTGCTACATGGAAACATTTGCTGGCCATTGTGTGTTGGCTTTATGACTGTGTGCTGCAATTGTAGAGAGCCTTTTTGCCCAAGTATTCAATACTGAGCTTTTCATCAGCCACTCTGAACAAATGGGAAGGCATTAGATTTAATTTTTCACTTGCAGAGCTTCAGGAAAAAGTACAGACTTTTTAGTGGGATGAGGACACTGGCACAGGTAGTGAGTAATTTGGGATGATGGCGGAGCAGACGGTCTTTGTGACACACATGAGGTGCAAACTTTGTTATTCTCTTATAGAGCGACATCCCATACATCAGTTCTTGGTCCAAACATAAGGTTGTGTAATTAGGAGCGCTTACCTAACACCATGCTTATTTTCTCCATTATTTCTCCCAGTTATTAATTATCCTCTTGCAAGCAGGGAAGGAAAAATGTACTTTCAGACTAAAGTAACAGATTTGGCTGGTTCCACTACTCTGACTTCATGAGCAATAAAATACATACTATTGCTTGCTACAGCAGATGCTGTACTAATCATTCTCTGTGTAACTGCCTACCTTTTACATCATTTTAAACAAATGCCAGGACTGTGGGGAGTAATAAAACAAAATAATAACGGCAGAACAGGTAGGTTTCATCGTACAAGTTAAAAACAAAAAAAAAGACCTCCATCTCCAAAAGCCATGAGAACTGTAGAAAGAGGCTCTTTTCTCCTGACAAAGTTAAGCTGTAATTACTGAGTGCAGAGAACATCTTTCTTACAGGAGCAAGCAGTAAGAATGGATCATGCAGGATGTCCCTGAAGGTGCTGCAGTCACATTTTAAGAGCAGAGAAGAGAGATTGAAAAGAAAATAATTTTTTTTCTAGTTTTGGAGTTGGCTTTGATTGTGGCCTGATTGCTGGTTCTTACCACCACTTTGGGTGATCGTTAACTGGGATGGTGAAAATACTGATATTAAACTTCTCTTTTCAAGTGACATGAAACTGAAGAAGAAATTCATGTCATGCCTAAGTTTTCAGTTTGAGTTGAGCTGTCAGGGAGAGCTAGATAGACATTTGAAATACAGTCTTTGGTGTTTTGGTTAACTTTATGAGGTGATAAACCCTATTTCACTTTGTTTCCCACGCCTTTATTTTTTTAATCAGGACATTCAAGAGTTGGTGCAAAATTAACTTAAAAGCAAATACGGGGGGGCGCTTCAAAATTTGTCCACTTTTGCATACATCAAAGTATTAATGTAAGCTTGTGCACGACCTGCTGGTATGCAGCAGCAGATGGCAAATGGTTTGTTAGTATTGGCAATGCTCTCATGAAGTCGAATACAATTCTTACTCTTGCTGGCTTGACAGTCCAAAGTGCTTTTCATTCCTATCCAGTTTTTTTCTGCTTTCTCTGTCTTCGTATTGCCACCCTTGGACCTTAGAATAGTAAAATGAAACTTCAAAGAGTTTATGAAAGTCACAGTCAAAAATGTGTTATCATAGGTCAGGCAGATGAAGCCAGTGCTAAATCCAGTCTCTTCTCAAATCTGGCCAAAACAATGTTTCACCTACATTTGGGGAGTGTGGCAGTCCATTTCTCTAAAATAGCTGAAGTTGATAAAAGTGTTGTTCAGAAAAATACAAGATTCCCCAAGATGCTGCAAGGTTGATGATACTCATTGGATTCTGTGCTGAGCAGAGCTAAATCTGTATGCTTCTGGACATTATTTCTCAAACACAGTTGAGATTTTGTCTTGTTTAGTATTGTCATAGGTTTGTTTCATAAGTGTAGCTATGCAGTAATTTCTTACCTCAAAGAAATTGTTTGCCTGAAGATTTTTTTAAAGCAAGACTTTCATTTAAGTCCAATTCCACTCCATTCAAAAAACAGTCTTTGCAGATATGTCTGATATTAGTTTCATGCCCAACTATCTACCACATTTAAGGAAATAAAATCTAACATCATCTTCAGCCAGTAGATTGTTTCCTTTCCCCTTTTTTTGCCATTTGTTTTATCTTTTCTTCTCCTCCACAGCTTTGGACTTCGTCTGTCTTCTTGTTTTAAAATCTGCTGTTGTATTACTCTCAGTACCTAGTGTTTAGATGGGTCCTCCTTCATCTTCTCCAAAGCATACCAAGGTTCTCCTCCTCCTATCTCATGCCTTGTATTTAAGAATTAGTGGCATGATGTGTAATCCATGAGTTACTGATACATGCTGGCAGTTGTGCCACCAGCAGTGCTGGTGATAAACTCCAGCTGCTGGTGGGTGCTCAGTCTGCAGCACCAGGCTGGAGTTACTGCCAGATAAAATACAAAAATTGGGCATCATATCAGCAACATGGTTCCAGTGGAGTAGTTTAGGTCTAAGGGTAAAAGCTAATATAGACATAATGTCTTGGGGTGACTGTATAATGCCTATATCCTATCGCACATGGCCATTAATTTCTCACCCCTCTAGGGGCGTATGTCTAATTAAGACCATGTATACTATTGAATGTTTCCAGTACTGTCCTCTTGATCTATAAATTATTGGTGCATTTAACAGGGCTCTGCATACAGCCCCAGCTCAGACACCTGGCTGGTACCCATTGATCCTGGTCCTCCTGCCGCAGTCACCTCCTCTTCATTTACTTGCTAATGGAGTAGCCTGCTCTTTCTGTTACAGTCTCACATTGTTTCTCTAATTGGCTTCTTCTTTCATTTGTCATAAGGATTCTGCTATTCCAGGGCAGATTCCCTGGCAGAAGACTCATGGTATGGCAGTCTAACATCACCCATATCCTGGTAGTAGCAACCACCGTGCTTTGTGTCACCTTTTCTTCAGAAAACACCGCTAGAGGCAG